GCAGGCTGAGGGCAAAGAGTTGCTCTAGCCAGGAATTTTCCACTTAAATTTTCATTTTGACAGAAAATATCACTGTAATTGACTTTTTTTTGGGCAGGACTGCGCTCAAACCATTTCAGCGAGGTCTTGTGACTCCTTGCGAACGGAGCCACTGGCAGTTCAAGTCAAAATCGAGGGCTTCACTAAACGGACTGCATAGCCTTGTGCCAAAAATTTAGGGGATGGAGTTGCTGCCTCCAATTGGTGCTTCTTTATACAAAGTGGAGTGCTCCATCAGTGCTACAGGAGGATTGGTCCTTGATAACGGGGAAAAGGCAGCTAATTAGGCCGGCAGACCACTGTGGACAAGCAGCCTTCATACCTCTGCCTGCTTTGCCAGTGCAGAAGACATCAAGACCTGGATGGATGTGTTTAATGTACAAGGTGGGAGCTGTGTTCCACTGGAACAGCCCAAAATGGGATCAAACCAAGGCCAGACCAGGGCCTTGAGGGGAAAGAGGAAACCCTAGGACTGGTTGTGATTTTGGGGAGAAATAACCATTTTTGCTACAGGAAAGTGATCTAAGGCTTTCAACGGTTTTGGGAGATCAGGTTGAGATAGCCAGTGAGCAGCACAACGAGCATCAGCAAGAGGTTTTGGTACAGAAGATGGTCCTGCACTGCAAAACTCAGGTCCATTTCCATGTCAACCGTGTAAAGTTAGGGGATTTAACTTGTGCATCGCTCTAGAATTCTTTGAGAAGATAAAGACCTTGCAGTCCCTAAAGGGTTGTGTCCTGCAAATGTCCACCCTCTTAAGTACAAAATGTCCTTGGTATCATTCCCACCTGAGTCAGGATTACTCGAAGCACCCCTGAGTAACCAGCCTTGTTGCCCCTTTACAGCTGGTGTAGGAGAAAGGCAGGACCAGAAATTGGCTTTCTGATGACTTTAGGGGGAGCCTGTAGCTTTAGGAGATGATTGGAATGAAACAAATCCCCGGTGAATTAATTGAAAGGGTCAATGTCTGTAGTTAATCAGTTAAAATTGCCCGTAGTTATCCAACTGTGTCTTTCATGTCAGCTAGAAGATGTCTGTGAGGCAAGAGCCATCTAATATGTAGGCTGGACTTGTTTGATGGGGTTTTTCTCCTCCCCGCTGGCAAGTAGTTTTTCAGTGGGCACATGGACAATATGTTTTTGACATTTATCTAGGTTTATCTAAGATATAGCTTTGCCTCTATTCCTCCCTGCTGGTGTTGGGTGGTTTTTTTTGTTTGTTTGTTTGTTTGTTTTTTTCAGCTAGGTGGTGGTTGGAATTACTTGACTTCATGACACATTTTCAGCACTGATTTCAGTGGTGACAGTTATTAACGGTTTCACGATAAGAAACAGGTGTTTCAGCATGGTCCATCAGGCAGAAGAAGAACAATGCCTCCCCAATGTCATTGTTCATGATGTATTCAATGACTGCTAGCTCTTTTTTATGAAGATTTTATTCAACCTCATAGGTAGCATTTACTATTTAGTATGCAGGCTTTCGGCAAGCTAGTGGAGTGGAAAACCTTTTAATTTCTTTTTAATGCAAACATGGATCTTGCAAGACCTTGTCAAGTGATTGCAATGGGCGCAGGCTCTTGCTTACGTCTCTCAGCATCACTTGGTGGTCCCCTGCAAGAAAATCCTGGTTACTTCTCATGCAAGTTGTGGTTCAAGGGACAGGTCCAAGCCTGAAGGGATCAGAGTGATTCTCCTGGCTACTCTTGTTTTGCACTGGGGAGCCACACCTGGGATGGTTTGGGCAGAAAACATCATTGGAGTATTAGGGGCATTGCAACGACTCCTGGGCTCTGCTGCCACTTCCCATGCTTTCCCATGGATGGGCAGCTAAGGAGAGATGTTTTGGAGCATGAGGCTATCAAACACTCTGGGTATTTTTTTCAGACAAGGTGTGAACGTGGATCACTTGCCCTCAGTATGCGAGTGGGTTTGCTGGTGGTTTTGCTTGTCCAAGACCTGTACCGTGCATTTCTGCTACCTCTTTTCCCTCCCTTTGCTGCTGTTTACACTTCTGCCACACACGCTCCATCTCTGTTCTCCGTCTGATCTCACAGCGAATAGTGTGAAAAGCCTTGGGCTTGGTGTAGGTGCTGCACAGAGCTCGGCTGCACCCAGAGAAGGAGAGGGGACAAAACTTCATCTTCTATCTTTGCATTGCCTGTGCTGTGAGATTGACTGGAGGGGAGCTGCCGCAGCCGCTAACAGTTGGATCCCACTGGTGTGGTGCACAGGTCTCGTGTTCTCTGGCCGTGCTCCGGGTGCTCAGAGAGAAAGAGGTGAATATGAGGTAGAGTTATCACACTGACCCTTTTCCGTGGCCTATGCAGGAGATATTCCCAAAGAAAGCTGCTCTCTCTGCAATTCAGTGGGGCTGGCTATCTGGGCTATCTGGTAGATGCTGGAGTGGATGTTGTTGGGTACCCCTTGAGGGACAACTTTCTGCGTCCTTTGTCGTCCCAGGAGGAAACTCCACAGGAGGTGGGAAGAGACAGAGCCCTCAGTGCTTGGGCTGCTGCCTGAAGGACGTGGCAGTGGGCATCTTCTCCCTCTTCCTCTGAGGATGCTGTGGTCCAGCTTTGCGATCTAGGGCCATGCCTGCCTGGCCTTGCTAGAGTGGCTCTATGAACCTTGAAAACACTTGGAGCCTCTCGTGCCTTTATTTTGTACCACAACTGACAGGTTTGTTCTCCAACCTATTTATTTCCCATTGATGTTTGATATCACAAAGGGGTGGATCAGCACAAGGTTCACCAAAGGTGCCTGATAGGTCCCTTGGGTCTTTGACAAGGCAGTGGTGCCTCCCAACCCAGTCCTACTGCTTGGGCTCTCTAGCAGACAAGAAGAAAAAAAGATTGATTGGTGATAAATAATGCATTCTGTTCCCACCTAAATGTTGTTTGATCTCCATAATCTTCATTCCTCCAGTGACAGGGAGCTCAGTGTTAATAGCTATTTGTCACCCATCGCAGTGCTTAAACAGCCTGAGCAGAGCTGTACTCAGCTAATACATCTGTGCCACGGGCAGGGCTTCCCATTATTACTTCCTTTACAAAAACTTTAAAAAAATATTTCTCCTCTCCTGTGGTGACTTTTCACAGCAATTTTTCGAAGTGAAACAATTAATGAACATTAAACACACTTTTTCTGGGAAAGCAGCAATCAGGAGAGAAGATATAGTATCCCTCTAAAATCTCCCTGTACATATATACATGCACACAAAGCCACTTCAAGGCTGAGCAGAATTGGAAGTGATAGTTACCAGTATAATATTTAAATGAGCGTTAATTACCATAAACCGTTTGGATTTTAATGTCTCCTTCTGTACAGTATGTAAATCAAGGCTGGAATGGGCTTGTGAGTATGCATTGGGCCTCTGGTGTTGTGGATAAAAGGGCTGATTTTTAGTACTCGGATTTAGCCGCCTGGTTTCCACTAATTTTAACGGCAGCAATGGGGCCAAACCCTGGCCAGCACGGGGAAGGTTTCCCCTCTCATCTTCAGAGACAGCCCTGCCCCAAGGACAGCTTGTGCTTGCTTTCTCATTCCAGCTCCCTACCTGGAGAGGCTTCTCGAGGAGGGTGCTGATTAGATGCTGAAATGACTTGGGTTTGGGTTTGGGTCTGGATGGAGGGATGTCTCGCTGTCAGCGTGATGTAGCAGCTCTTACACATTTTATTGAGTACTAAAGGGTTTTTATGGGGGGTTTAGTGTCCAAGCCGTGAGTGATGTAATTCCATGGCATGTGGTTTGCTGGGCAGTGCTGCACCCACATTTGCATGCTTCATCTCCCATCCTCTTTCCAGCCAGCCTGGCCTACAAACCCGAACAGAGGGGAAGGGACTTCGCACAAAGCTGCTGGAGATGGGCAGATCTTCAGGCACCTTGTGGTGCCTCCCCAGCCTCCTTCTTGTCCTTCCTCTTTGCCCCCCTCTCCCTCCGTGGGGACCTAGTTTGCCTTGCAAAGTGGCCTCATTATAAATGCATCAGCCTCTGCCGGTCTCGCACACACAGCCTTCATTTAGCCCTCCAAGCTCGATTACATCTGAGGATGTCTTGGGGTAATTAAGTAATATTAGAACATTTTCTCTTCTATTTTTTTTTTTTTTCCCTTCACTAATGCAGCTTTCAAAGCACAAGCCTCAGTTCTCACCCACTGGAGCCCACTTCTCCAAGCCTCTGAATTCTCCCTAATGTACCTCACCATGAATGAAGGCTAATTACATTTCTGAAAGATGTCATTAGTGTCATATTCATGCTGGGTTTTAGAGAGCCGGCATGCAGCAGGGAATGCTCCCTTAGGTGTCTTTCAGCTTCGCCAGGAGCTGTGCCACTGGTGAGGAGTGGGGATCAAACTGGCCGGGCTTTCTGGACAGCAAAGGGGAGCTCAGCCGGCAAAGCAGAGATGCTCTGGGCTTTGTTGTGAGCGATCTCCTTCCTTGGATGTTTTGCATCCTTCATCTCCAGAGCTCATCATGGTTTACAAACATTAACTAATTAAGCCTCTCATTGCTCCTCTGAGATAAATAATTGCTACTCTAATGATTGGCATTACATCCACTCTCTAAGCATTGGACAGTGCTTTTTGCTACAGAGAAATAAGGAGGCAAATCCTAAGCATGCAAAAAGATAAGCAATACTTTTGAATTATCTTGCCATCTAACCTGCTGGCTGGTGGCCAGAAATCGGGAGCTACTGTAACAGGTACCTGTGGCATTTCTTTTGAAGTCAACGGTCCATGTTCTTCCCTCTTACATCTGTATAAACCCCAATGAGCTCTACTGACTTCAGCGGAGGCTCCTCAGAGGCTTCCTCTGAGGGAAGAGAAACTAGAATTTGTCTATTTAGGTTGATCATTGTTTGCATCACGGATGGGATGTTGCTTCCCAAGAAAACAAAAAGAAAATGGTGGTCACACTTTTTTTTTTTTTTTTTTTTTTTTTTTTTTTCCTCTCAGTAGGTGGTTACAAGGACAACGTTCTGGTTTTATACTACCACTGTTCTCCTGTTCATCCAAGTGTGAGGTGGCCTCCAAGGTCCCACAGGTGAGTACTGCTTTCAGGGGGTATTAGATACTCTTAAAAGAAGTCACGTATAACTTAGGGTAAAATTGGCATGAAAACGCTCGTTCATGTTGTATTATGTTGCATTTTCTTGTCCTGGAGAGATGCATCAGCTCTGTTAGCACGGCTGGAGTTTGCTGCCTCTGGAAGAGGTCGACTATCCCAGATGGTCTCTACCCCTGTGGGAGCCTGATGTCCCCCCTCTACCTGCCTGTTTTTTTGGGGCACTGCCATAAGCAGGGAAGGGACGGGGACATTGCTGCTGTGGCCCAGACTTGTTGCAGATCAAAGCGGGGTAGTAAGGGCTGCTGCAGCCCGGCACTGTGTGCAGACAGCAAGTGATGTACTTGACACTATATCTTCCCATCTTCCACTTCAGTGACCACTTGATTTCACTGTGCTGCCTGACCCTAATACTGGATACCTCCTTGACCCTGTATGAAAGGGTACGTTGCAGTCCAGGATATCCCGCAAGCTTTTGTGGGTTTGTTTGACTTATTTTTTTAGCCCTTGCAAGTAGATTTTTGGCCAAAACAATAATCAGGAACCAGAAGGAAGTAAAAGCTGGCTTTGTATCATGTAAGGATGGATTGCAAAGCTTTTGTAAAGATGTGTGTTGGAGAAAAAGGAAAACCACTCAAAGATGTGTAGCACTGTCTGATTTGTGGTCAGTGGTGGGTGGCTGGCCGTGGAGGCATTACACCAGAGGCAAATGATGCAGAGCCACCTTTGTCCTTGAACATCTCTGCTACAGACTCCTGGCTTTTAGAAAAGCCTGGATCTGAGAGGTCTCCGGGTGTTGAGGTAGGAGTGAGCTGCCTCACCTCCTCTCCTCATCCGTCCTTTTGGAGGGATCCCTCACCTCTCTGCATCTGCTGTGGGTGGTTTCCAGCCTTGGGTAAAGGGTCCCCCTTGTCCCTCCTCTCTGAGCAGGAGCACGGTGCCACCAGGGCTCCTGAGGATCCCCGACGGGGCTGGATGTGGCTGTGCTTTGCTGGGGTGGACGGCCAGACCAGCTTTTCTGTTTCATGCACTGGTGTGAAATTAAAGGGATTTTGGAAAAAAAAGGCTGCGCTAGCGAAGCTAAGCTGCCCTGGGAGATGTTGTACGGAGAAGCTAATTGTCCGAGGTGTGGGAATCCCAGGCTTTTCCACAGGCTCCACCTTGCCAGTCCTGGCCAAGCTGCCAGCTCTATCCCATCTAGAAAGGGAGACGGACGTTAATTGAGAGGCTGTGTTTAATTTGGGGGACAAAGGTAGGATCTGGGCTGCGAGACCGCTGCAGGGGGGAACTGCTGTACGCGGGGATGGACCGGAGCAGCTGCCTGGAGGTGCGGGTCCAGCCTGCACCCCGAAAAGCAGGGGAGGCTGACAGGAAACCCAGCAGGGAGATTACTCCGGGGGAAAGGAATTGTGAGTCACAGACACAGAATTTGGGGCGGGGAAAAACCTGGGCTGTACCAGTCTGGTAAGTAGGAGAGTCCTAAACCAGTTTATTTCTGTACACTGAGATAAGCCCAGGAATCTGCCTTTGCTCTGGCCCCAGCCAATTCCATCTGTGATGAGCTGGCAGGGTTTTTACGTAGACCCAAACCAACTTTAAAATCTCTATTTTCTGCTTATTGGTAGCTGTATAATTCAAAAGCCATCCTACTAAAGGCAGAGTCCTGGCAGTGCCCAGTAGCAAAGGGGCAGGAGGCAGGAGCTGAAACACTGTAGCTGATCCAGCCTCTCCTGGTGTCTATCCAAAGAAATGCTTTGACTTTACTATGAACACTACATGTTATTTGGCTGTAGGAATGAGAGCCAAATTTCTGAAAGACTCCTGTAGCCTGTAGTCAGCTCCAGGCCAGGGCTGCATGTGTTCCCACGAGTGTCCCATCTGTTCCAGGCCAGGAAACTGCAGCCTGGTAGGGTCCTGGGGGGGCTGGCGAGGACTCCCAGCGTGAGAACGAGCACCTCATCTCTTGGCGGTCATCTAAGGTTGAGGCAGGAAAAGCTGAAGATAAACAAGAAACTTCTCTGAGCGTGTTTAGACCACTTGAGGTTGCCCATGCTCTAATGACACATTCTGCAGATTACAGAACCTAGTAATTACAGCTAATAAGTCCAAAATGTGTAATTACCCTGTAAGCACTTTGAGCTAGAAGGCAGAAATAAGCATGGTCGTTACACACTCATTCGATGATCTATCGCTTTCCCGGTTCGACATGCAAAATCTGGGAGTGGCAGAAAGTATAGCTCCTCGTTTCCCCAGCCACCATCCTCATCAGCCACTGGGTGAAGGGAGGAAGCCAGCTCATTTTCCTGCATCCTTTGCTCAGCCAAAACAGCTCCAAGATCCGGTGTCCTTTCCTTGAGAGAGATGATTCCTGATCAGATTTTCAGATCTGGAGTGGGAGGCTCTTGAGGAGAGGTTGTGTTTGTTTTTAGTTCCCACTGCTTTGCTTTCCTTCCTAATTAAAGTAGCTCTTTTGTCAGTCCCTGAATTTCTTTCCACCCTCCAGTTTTCCCAAACAGGCTTCTTAATGTTTTCTGCCTCTAATCAATACACAATTTATATGCAATAACTTTGTCCAGAGAATAGGGAAGCAGCTATCAGGGTTTCTCCTGTAATTTTAGTGTGCTGTAGCCATTGACTGAAGGTCAATGCAAGCTTGACTATGACTGATTTTTACTGTCTTTGGGCAACCCATCAGCAAAACGCAAGCTTTGTAAAACCTTGACTCAATGCGGGCCATAACGGATCGCGCTACGCAGCCTGCCAAGCACACCGTGAAGCTGACTTCCGCGGCAATGCTGCGCCCGGCAAAGCTTCCTCTTATTCTCGTGCAGCCCTTTCTGGTGGGAGGAGGGCACCCCACCCCTCCACAGGGCATGATAGATGTCCTGACAGACGCTATTTTACCTGATTATACGGGTAGTGGGTGCTTTGATAGGAAGTGAAGCCGGTGCCTGCTCGGTGAGCGAGAAGAGCAGCTCCATTAGGCACCCCTGGGGATGGCAAGACAATTCTGCAGAGAGGACCTTGCGCTGGGGAAGCGGGCACCTCGTTTAACCTCCCTCCCAGCCAGCCTCGTGCTCATCTGTCTCCTGTCACTTGAGATCCCCCCTGTCACCTCTTCAGCAGGAGATGATATTAGCAAGGACCAGAAGAAGTCTCCATCCTCAGAAATGAAACTTCAGGAGATGGATGTCATTTCTGTGCTCGTGTGTACCCTAACCCTACCATGGACATTGCCTAGGAGGAGTGGGTATGTCCAACGGGAACGTCCAACCATTTTCGGGTGTCCCACGACGTCTCAGAGCAGCGGGATCAGCTGGGGACGCTCCAGCTGACATGCTTAACAAGCAGGGAGGTGCAGACTCGTGGCCATTTGGCATCTTATTAATCACATTTAATGTGTAGGTTGCTTTAGCGTCGATCATTTTAAAATTCCCTGTCGGAAAGGTTACCTGTATAATTATAGGTATAAATCTCAGGGACGTTCTTGCCAAAACAAATGGAGCGTCTCACGCTCAGGCCAGGGATGAACCCAAAGAAGCCATAAAAAGGGATTGTAATGATGGACCAGGAAATCTACACCCAGCCCAGGGCTGAGAAGAATTCTGTAACTCCAGAGATAAATAAGACATTTGGGTAGTTGGAAAGAGTTCCTGCAGTCGTCCTGACTTGTAGAAAAGTAGGAGCTATTGATCTCCAGGCTTTGAGCATTAAGCGATGCCCAGGTGGGCAGAGGCGAGGAAGATGTTTGTTCCCAGCCCCGTGGGTGCTGCAGGGAGGGCCTTGCTCTGGCACTGACCAGCCCTTCCACCTGCTGCTACTGGTTTCTGGTCGTTGATGGCAAAATTGGGAAAGGCTCCAACTCTGCCTCGCCTGCTGCTGAGTCCAGCAATATCCAGGCTTCTGTTGCAGTGGGAGCTGGTGTTGGCAGTGTTTCTCCACGGCGTCTTGAGCATCGTTGGATGCAGACTTGGGAAGGCATCAGACAATGCATGAGCTTGGATTGAAGGGTCCCAGCTAATGGGGCTGGATCAGGCTCAGGTGGTGAGGAGTCATGCGGTGCCTCCTCTTGACGGATCTCAGGTGTGGGTGAGGAACCTGAGGATGACCTGTTTATGAAGCAGCTCTGGGAAGTGCTGATAAATATCCTTGGTCAGCAGCAGAAAGCTTCAGTCTTCTTAGTCACTGGCTGAAAATGCATGTTATTTGGTTCCTCAGTGAAGAAAATGGAGTTGGGCCTGTCTTCTTGGGGGTTTTCTGACATTTGAGATGCACAGGCTAGGTCAAAAGTCTATCAGAGCATCATGAAGTTCGCATATGCCCTTAGAAACCTGGCTGTTGGGAACCGCTTCTTCCTCACTGCAACACCTTGCAAAACCAACCTCAGGCCCTTTTTCCTCTTTAAATTGCAGGTGCTTCCTAATCAGAGCAGGTCTTGGATGGAGATATTCACCCTGCTTCACACTCCTTGTCTCCTGAAGGCCACATTTGCCCACCTCCCGCCTTTCTGGAGAGGATGCTGGGAGAACAGTTGGAAGGAGAGATGCTGATTTGGGTTTTTGGTCTGTGCCTGTGCTTGGCACTCAGATGGATTAGTAATGATTCACACTGTCATAATAGATTAAGATGCAAGGACAACAGTATATTACAAATAAAATATTCTGTAGTAGCAGTAAGAAGAAATATTAAAGACTTTGGTGCTTTAGATTGCTAATTGCAGGATGTGTTAATTGCAAAGCAAGCAATACAGGCTCTTACGTAAAGTCTAGTGCCCATGGCTTACGTTATGAAGAGCAAGAAGAGTACATGGGACATCACCGTGTTGAAGCCAAGACAAACATCTAAAACCACTTAAAATACTAATCTGAAACCATCCTCATGCCTCTGTGGTATCCCATTTAATCACAGCCCTCTCCAAAAGCACTGCCTGGGTTTTGTCTTTTACAGTCACGTTAGTTGCTTCCAACTTTCTCATCAGC